ATATCTCGTACTTTGAATTGAAAGAGTTAACCAAAAGTAACGCAACTTATCCGTACCTCAATTTAACTTACTATCTTGACAAACTGACCCTTAAGGAATAAATAAATGACAAATCTGAACGCAAACAGAACGAAAAACTGGATTTTATACAAAGGAGCAAACATGGCAACACTTACTCATGTTTTATTGCTGAACGTCGTATTTCGTTAACAGTGAGTAAGTTTAGTTTTACACCGCTTTTAGGAATATTCCAGCAATATCACGGCGGGGGACACAAGAAATGGGCTTCACACATTGTACCGTTGTGGGGAATCAAACTATGCTACTCCGATGCGCTCGAAGGGTCCAAATAATCATACAAAACAAGCATAATTATGCATATAAATGTCTATATGGGGGTTAAAATCACTGGTGTTGCCATACTTTGTATGTTGTGTTGTTGATTAATATTTTTACTGATGGAAAGCTGTCAACTGGTGTTAAACTGTACGTGTGACAATTAAGTTATTATATTGTTCATCGAAAACAGATTTCTCATTCCGACTATATTTAGTATTTATAACAAAACTATTCAAATTCACGTCTCGATATGGCTGAAATATTGCCGATGCGACGTTAATTCACGCACTTCTGCATGAGCGAAACGGAAACACCAGGACAATGTCACGGGCTCCATACATGTAGGTACACAACATTGAGAGGCTTTTATGTGTATTATCAGTCTTCAGTAGTTTCGCTATATGTATATCTTTAATAACATTCGAATACCAAACCAACAGTATGTATTGAAATTATTAAATGGATTTATGAATGATATTTTTAGAAAATATCTATAATCAGCAAGTCAAGAGAACAGACTTGAAGTTTGTCATGTTGTTCTGACACTATATGGTAATATATTCGAATGTTATTAAAGATACAATGATAACCAGCTCTGAAAAACTCTGCTCAACTTCAGTCCAGTATTCAAGACTAAACCATCATACTTATGAGCGATGTTGTGGTTCTGCACTTCATACGCTGTTTAGTACTGTGGTATCGCTGCATTCCCAAACAATCCTTCTTAGATGACAAAAATATACAACAAAAACAGCGCAGGTGTTACCAAGCACGTTGAGTTGTTTGCAACCGTTTTCGTGTACCTGCATGTAGCGTCGTGTTAACGTCTTGCCACCACCAAACAAATGAAGTTGGGCATTCGCCAGTGGGCTGACACATGAGTACTCGTCTATGACATGATGTTGAGACTCAAAGGACTAATAGAGACACTAGGAATCATTGCTGATAATGATATCAGTGGTAATCTTCCGTGTCTCTGTGTTATATCTTCCAAGGCTTTGACTGACTCTTAGCTGACACTGTTGCCCTCTGTTGTATGGCATGTTCTCCACGATGGTATGCTGTCATTTGACGCCTGATGCATACGACCCAATCACTGAAACACTGCAGCTACTTCATATTCATGATTCGTTAGCAACTCCTACCTTAGTTTTAGTTTGTTGACATTGGTTTCAAGATTTCAACAAATACAAAGTCTTTCACTCAACCGATGTAAAAAATATTTGAAGGTTGTCGGCAAGTCAAATCAAATTCTACGTGCAATTGATAAATACTGGACATTATTGGGATTATGTTACTGTTATGTTGAGACCATGTGACACAACATTACGGTACTATGGAGACGGGCGTTACATATAGAGGGACGAACTGATCATCGCCGCAGTGCCTCTCTGTCTAGACGTACAGACGTTCTCAGGAAAGCATCGGCAGTCATGCTGAAGTTAGCCGTCACAGTTCTTCTTCTAGGTAGGTTTTCCTTTCTACCTGAATTGATAACAGTTAGATTCGCTTCAGTTGTGTGATATGTGTTTCAGAAGTGGACATCCTGGTTGCTTTGAATGAAAAAAACAACAACATTTGACATCATTATTAAGTAACAAATCTCCACTAACCTGTCGAGTTGGGAAAATAGTTATGATGCTTAAGATACCTACTTGGGTTGTCAGTCCAGATTTGAAGAGGTCATCGTGCGACGATGTCGTATTGGCCACACAAGATATACTCATGAATACCTGTTAAAAGGTGAGGATCCTCCGTTTTGTATCACTTGTGATGAGAGAATGACGGTCAAGTATGTCCTGCTTGACTGTATGGATTTTTCCATCACAAGGGATAAGTATTTCAATATAAAAACTGTTCAGGATCTTTTGGTACTGTTCATTTTCATTTAATTATTGAAATTTTAAAAGAAATAGAATTGTTCGATAAATTTTGATGAATAGGTTTTATATAATATACATACATTCCATTTCAATGTCAAATATGTTTTCGTCACGATATGACGATGTGACGTTAAATATTAACTCACTCCCTCACTCACTATGATGCTTAAGCGACGGTTTCAAGAGTACTGGTATTATCATTCATACTTGAACTCCGATATATGCATATTCGGATAAAACGGGCGTGTACGTCAGTAGAAATGTTTGTTTGTAACAGACATTGACACTTAAGAGATGAAAATAGTATTATTTAGTATTAACAACAGTAATAGAAATATATATTTCTGGCGGCTTATTTCATACACTTTAAGTTCTTAAAGTAACTAATTCATTTAAATCATTCTGCAAATACCTGGTACTATCACTGCTTAGTAATGATAATTCATAGATGCATGCTTATGGACACGGTGGGTGTTCCAGCCTCAACGTTTAAACAGTACAAATTGAATTATAACATTTGGACTTTCAATTAAAGTGGAATTTCTTGAAGATCAATAGTTGTCTGTTTAATAATTGCAAAATACAGCTACTTGAGGATCCTCCGTTTTGTATCACTTGTGATGAGAGAATGACGGTCAAGTATGTCCTGCTTGACTGTATGGATTTTTCCATCACAAGGGATAAGTATTTCAATATAAAAACTGTTCAGGATCTTTTGGTACTGTTCATTTTCATTTAATTATTGAAATTTTAAAAGAAATAGAATTGTTCGATAAATTTTGATGAATAGGTTTTATATAATATACATACATTCCATTTCAATGTCAAATATGTTTTCGTCACGATATGACGATGTGACGTTAAATATTAACTCACTCCCTCACTCACTATGATGCTTAAGCGACGGTTTCAAGAGTACTGGTATTATCATTCATACTTGAACTCCGATATATGCATATTCGGATAAAACGGGCGTGTACGTCAGTAGAAATGTTTGTTTGTAACAGACATTGACACAGGCGTTTAATGTATTGAAATCATTTGAACTATTGGCAATACGTTAATGGATAACTATTGAAGATGAGCGTAATCTCGTGTCTGTTTAAAGAATGCTCAACCATGGGCACATTATAATACCATGACTCAAACTGTATTTATACCATTGCTGTTACTTAAGAGATGAAAATAGTATTATTTAGTATTAACAACAGTAATAGAAATATATATTTCTGGCGGCTTATTTCATACACTTTAAGTTCTTAAAGTAACTAATTAATTTAAATCATTCTGCAAATACCTGGTACTATCACTGCTTAGTAGTGATAATTCATAGATGCATGCTTATGGACACGGTGGATGTTCCAGCCTCAACGTTTAAACAGTACAAATTGAATTATAACATTTGGACTTTCAATTAAAGTGGAATTTCTTGAAGATCAATAGTTGTCTGTTTAATAATTGCAAAATACAGCTACTTGAAAACAAATTTCTTAAATGGCAGACTTGTAAATTATTAAAGGCATTTCCAAAACTGTCTTCATCCACGTTAGCATTCTGTAATCGATATAGAACAGCGTCGAAACAGAACCCCAATCCCGATGTCCAGTCATTGCGTGCCCAGCGTGGGCACACTCGAATAACAAAATGATGTGACGTGAAGACCTTACTTGTGGGAATGATCGTAGTTCAACATCTTGAGATTCTCTTGCACGCCTGTGCACACCTGTGCACACCTGAGTCGTAAGACTTTTAGACCTTTACACCCAGCGACATTTCCCTGTCCTGTCATTTATTCATCATACTTCACCCATAACAGGGCCGTGTAAAGTTGTGCTTCATGCTAATGTGTTGTATTCTCGCTCCTTTTTTGTTACCAATATGCAACTGGGAAAACGCACCAGGTTCTGTCAACCCGGTGTCAAATAAGCACGCTATTAGTTATCGCTATTGGGAGGCTGTCTGAACCGACACTTGGTTGAGTTTTTGTGCAGTGTGTAGGGAACATCAACTCCGGCGAGTCCTTCGCTTGCATAAAGTAGTCTGGCCTTAACTGCTCATGACATGGCCACTTACCCTGCGAATGAGACATTGTGGGGAAGGTCAATATCCCAAGTTGCCAGAGAAATTGGTAAAAAAAAAAAAATTGTGAATAAAAAAGTGAAAATATCGTCAAAATCATTCTGTAAAAAGGTGTCACCGCAACACCTTCGTATAAGAGATATAAATTTGTCGTGCGCTGGAGCATGCTTGATCGGGTTTAGGAAACGGATGAAGGGTTCATCTGATTCGCAGATGACAGAAAAGGTTATTGCCGACCTAGTGGCGTGCGGTTTGCCGAGGCAACAAATCTTGACTATGATCCTTATGAGTTTTTCAGTTCACTATTTGCTACGAGGGAGGAGTGCAGAGAAAGGGACAGCCAGGTGTTCGAGAAGCACGTTCACAGACAATATATTTATTCATTAACCTGTGCTGTGCCCTCTCCATCCGTTCTCGAACACCTGGCTGTCCCTTTCTCTGCACTCCTCCCTCGTAGCAAATAGTGAACTGTATCAATATTTTAATGATTGATTGTTAAACAACTTTTTTGGTTTTGGACCAAAATTCTGCAAAAACATCACAGAGTTGGTATGATGTTTTGATTATGATCAGCGTTCATTGAGTATTTTATATTTATTAGTTTTCGAGCTAGATCGCAATTCATCGGTCCGATTTGAGCCAAACGGACTATAGTGAGTTGATAAACATTTTGTCAGACTAAATCTCGCATTGATTCCTTTCCAGTTTACTGTCCACCGACTTGGGCAAGTACTTGTGACGAATGTAAAAATGCATATGGTACACCGGTCGCCAACGCAAAATGCGCGTAAGTCATTTTACATAATGTACAGGACATCTTGTTTGTATGCCATACACAACATATGTAACAAAAACCCTTTGAAATTACATAAAGATCAGTATTGTGTGTATGCCTGTGTGGCTTTGTATTGAATTTTTTCACTACCGGATTAGCGCAAAATATTTATCAAATTGTTCATTCATTCTTGAAACATTCTACTACAAACAAATGGAACTTCCACGTGAGAGTAAATATTGCACTTTTCATTTACAGTAATGCATGCACCTAGCGAGATACATCTATTTAAATACATACACGTATCTATGGTTTCAGATGTCCGATGTTCAGGCGAATCTATTTTTCATCCTTTTTCAGGGCATTAAAGACGTACCTGACCTGTCTGGAGGGATCAGCGAAGGGTGAAGCCGGGTGTCCACTTGCAGCTGCTGACGCTCAGGTCATACAGACAGATTTTGAAGCAGATTCCTGTAGTGAGTGTACATTGATTTATCATCCAAAACTGTGTTCTACAGAGATCTTGCTTGAGTGAGATCAAATGATATCCCCCAGGAGATATCGTTTTGACAGTAGATTTTGTACAGTGCCCTGACGTCGTGAACTTTATGACGTCACAATGCTCTGACATCGCTGCACTGCAAGTCTAATGACAGAACCGTGTTCCGAGATGTACATTTTTCATTGGAAACTAATGAGAAGTGGCTTTTGATGATAAATAGAATATCACGCTCGTGTCTAATGATATCAAATATGTCAACACTGCTTGATAAGAGTAAAAATATCCTCGGAAAGAATCGGATATTTATAACTTTATCAACTCGTGTTGATATAAAATTGATATCTTTAGACACTCTGGCGACATTCTCTATATATTATTGTATGTCTTGATACCTCAACAGAATATACAATGCACATATATAAAACGTCTGTGAGAGAACAGTAGAACGAGTTGACTTTTAGGAGGGGTCTCTCTAGAGATTACCCGCTGGGGATTTATTGATGCTTGTTTGTGTAAAGAATTCAGGGGACAGTTGAGGAATTCCTGGTGATATGATTGTATGGCGACTTACAGCGCAATGAGAATTACATAGATGGATTGCATGCAGGGTGTGTAAACATGCTTATGTATATGACGTATCTTGAACCGACAGATGATTCACGGTGTTGTGTACATGCTGTCATTTACATGATCCATGATATCTAAACCGAGCTATTCTCAAGCATTTTGTGTTGCAGAGTGTGGAGGGAATATATACATGCGAAAACGTAATATGTAATAATCTATGAGATGGGGGGTTGTTATCAAACATGTTCTACAAATGCCTGCTGGGTGGGTTTCTGAAAAACAACGTCTAATAGATATCTTAGATAATAATAGATATTGATGATAGAAAATGCATATGCTAGAGATGTCTGTTTGGGTACAAACAACGACATATGTTTCTGTGCTTGTCAATCTACACTTTTCATTGCCTGTGTACTTGCAGCATTTACCGACACCTGCATTTGTCAGAAAGATTTCTGGAAAACTGACCAGAGCGCTTCTGGGGAAGCAGATACTTGCAGGTAACAAACAGTTTGGTAATGGTCGGAGCATAGGAATCGACGATTAGAAATATGACTTTTAAGAAAGGTTGGATTTTCTTTGAAAATTAGAAAGCATCGAGTATGGTGGATAAACAGCAGCATGTCTTTTTGTGAAGAATTCAATGAAAAGTGTTCAATTTGTAGGAACGATATTGCCTTTTCAAACCAAACGGTGACTGAAACATATCCGTCTTTTAGGAATAAATCAGCCACACCCTACAGCCTCCAGGTATGATCTATACCTTTGTAGAAAGAATTGGCTTGTTTGAATTATCGCAACTGGATCGGATTATCTTCAACCAAATATGCATATACTTTGAGTGAACTGAATTGCTATTGGTCCTAAACCTAACCCCTAAAAAATCGTATTAAATAAAGGAAATGGACCGAAGCGGCACGAAAGTGGATGACGTGTCCAGTGTAATGTATTCTTACCGCTTCGAAAAATATAATTAAATATACTCCATTCCTGTTAGAATGATGCAAATTACTGAATGAAAATACAACAACGTATATGTAGATTGGTTCCCATTGATAATTCATTTAGTCCTATAAGTTACACTCAATACGAAATATAAATTTTAAATAAAAGTTCTTTCATGAACTGGCGCTTGCTATAAAATGCGCCGCCGCCATCTATGTTTAGCACACAAACTCCCTACAGCACATGTCTTACTCAATGACTATGACAATGCGTATAGAGTCGACAGAATAATCAGAGGAGCTTAGGCACACTCGATAATCCAGCAACAGTCCGACGTCACAAAGCATTGGTCTTGATTACAAAGTTTCATAAATTACGTCGTAAGATATTGTGATGCAATTTGTACAGGTTGTGGGGCTGTATTCGAAAGGTAGGCCAAAAAGGGTACGACGTGAGTCCATTATTGCTGGCATCATATCTTTCCATCTTGATCTTAAAAGGGAACTTCATGACACTCCATTTGATGGTAGCACTGTAGTATGAATTGCCCCAGCGTCTGTGGTTAGGTCTTTACGTTTTGTACTACACAGTGATATCCAGACCTACATCACGTGCTTGAAGGGAAAGACAGAATCGGCCTGTGAGGGTTCCACCAGTGTAATAACCCTAGCTATCAGTGTAGAGACCAGGATGAAAGCACTCGATAATCCAGCATGTTGTAAGCCTTTGACCTTCTATTAGTATGATATTACAGTTAACTTTATCAATTGTGTTGCATGGAAGCACTTAATGATCCGACCTGTGGTAAACAGTCGAAATTTTTATTCTTAAATGCCAACTAGATTATGTTGTCGTCAACTTGATTCATTTTGTTGCTTCATAGCCTTATGAAGGGTAACATTTCTTATAACAAAACCAACAAGTACAACATAAATACTCAATACTCTGTAGATGGTTTGTCATGTTGTAGCTGTTTTTATCCGGCCACATCTGACGTTCTTAATATAATGCCTTACATTTGCTTTCTTGTAACATGATGTACTAATTTAAACGTTGACCTGTGTCATTAGCCGTCACCAGCGCCTGCCAATGTGAGATTGATGCCGCGAAAGCAGACATCTCCACCGAAGCCAAGAAGTGCACGAATTTAGTACTTGAAATGTTCAAGTATTATGGCCGAGTATTTCTCAAATAAACTTTCACGCTGCTTACGCGATCTTAAATCTAGATAAGGCTCAGATAATATGTTATTTATAATATATTATTTACACGTTCTAATTATTTTGGGTTAAAAGTATTCACCATCGTGAGGATGTCCAGAAGCTAGTTTCTACAAATTGCAAAATTCACAGTCTATTTTCTATTCACAGACCTAAATGTATAATAAATACAGACTTGGCTTGTCAAAACTAAGGATTAATTATAAACGGAATATATCACTCGAAAGAATGCAAAGAATCTATCCATTATGTAACTCTGCTACAGATGACGAAATACATTTTACCTTTGAATGTCCACATTATGCAGAAATACGAACTAAATATATACCAGAACGTTTCTCATCTAAGATGAGTAGAATAGGGTTTGTTTCTATTTTGTCATTGAATGATGCCGATGTAATATTTAAATTATCTCTATTTGTAAAACATGGAATGGACATAAGAAATAACTTGTTTAATGGAATGCCAGATTTTGAATTACCTTACTCTAAAAAGTCCTCCTGATTACCACCAATTGTTAAATGAATGTTAATTTATTTATCATTTCCACTGTATCTACCAATCAGTATATTCTCACCCAGTGTATTTATGTACACTTGTATATGGGCTGATGGCCTTTGATACAATAAAACATCTTTGACTTTGACCTTGACCTAACGTGGACTGTGACTCTGATAAGTGAGTAATTATATTCTTGTCATTCACAGTGCCTACAAGGCCCAGTTTTCATGCCTCTCCCCACTGACCACTGCTCCTTGTGTTGCCACTACCACTATAGATGCTCTGAAGGCGGCTGCAGCTACGTTGGTAACATCTACAACATCATGCAGTAAGATACTATTTTTATTCGTAGTGTATATGTTATTTCAATTTATGGCTAGATTATCGAAACTTGCTAACAGCTGAAGGGTTGATGTAAATCAAGCTAGGATCCATGGAGGAAGCAAATGTACTGTAAGTCCCCATGGTCCCTAGTATGGCGATCTAACTTATGTGTTGGCAATATATAGCCTGTTTTATATTGTATTATCTTCTGTAATTAAAATATTTTACATTTGCATACTCTACATACTCTTTTTGCATTCATATCTGTGATATTCTGTTTGTTGTTGTTTGTACTTCCTTCTTTTTTGACAGGTTTTAAAATTTACTTTCAATTACTATAAATCTAGAACTTGATTTAATCACGGTATTGCTGAAATACTGTTTATGTGACTTAAAGTATTAACTCACTGACTCACTCCTGCAGTAAGCGTGCATATTTTCTGATGTAGAATAATGAATACCGTTACAAGACAGCTCTTACGGGCGAGGACATTCTTCTTGGCTTGAATATCGTTGGAAGACATTAAAACTGAAATATGTATGTTTAATCCTGCAACAATGAATTTTCTTGTATTTGAAGAAAAGCTTGATGTAACACCATGTACTCATTCAAAAACCTGTGTTGTCAGCTGTCACCACCGCCTGCCAGTGTGAACTTGATGCGGCAAAAGCAGACATCTCCACCGATGCCAAGAAGTGCACGTGAGTTATCAATTTAGTACTTGAAATGTTCAAGTATTATGGCCGAGTATTTCTCAAATAAACTTTCACGCTGCTTACGCTATCTTAAATCTAGATAAGGCTCAGATACTATGTTATTTATAATAAATTATTTACACGTTCTAATTATTTTGAGTTAAAGTTATATTCACCATCGTGAGGAAGTCCAGAAGCTGGTTTCTACAAATTGCAAAATTCACAGTCTATTTTCTATTCACAGACCTAAATGTATAATAAATACAGACTTGGCTTGTCAAAACTAAGGATTAATTATGAACGGAATATATCACTTGAAAGAATGCAAAGAATCTGTCCATTATGTAACTCTGCTACAGAAGACGAAATACATTTTACCTTTGAATGTCCTTATTATGCAGAAATACGAACTAAATATATACCAGAACGTTTCTCATCTAAGATGAGTAGAATAGGGTTTGTTTCTATTTTGTCATTGAATGATGCCGATGTAATATTTAAATTATCTCTATTTGTAAAACATGGAATGGACATAAGAAATAACTTGTTTAATGGAATGCCAGATTTTGAATTACCTTACTCTAAAAGTCCTCCTGATTACCACCAATTGTTAAATGAATGTTAATTTATTTATCATTTCCACTGTATCTACCAATCAGTATATTCTCACCCAGTGTATTTATGTACACTTGTATATTGGCTGATGGCCTTTGATACAATAAAACATCTTTGACTTTGACCTAGACCTAACGTGGACTGTGACTCTGATAAGTGAGTAATTATATTCTTGTCATTCACAGTGCCTACAAGGCCCAGTTTTCATGCCTCTCCCCACTGACCACTGCTCCTTGTGTTGCCACTACCACTATAGATGCTCTGAAGGCGGCTGCAGCTACGTCGGTAACATCTACAACATCATGCAGTAAGATACTATTTTTATTCGTAGTGTATATGTTATTTCAATTTATGGCTAGATTATCGAAACTTGCTAACAGCTGAAGGGTTGATGTAAATCAAGCTAGGATCCATGCAGGAAGCAAATGTACTGTAAGTCCCCATGGTCCCTAGTATGGCGATCTAACTTATGTGTTGGCAATATATAGCCTGTTTTATATTGTATTATCTTCTGTAATTAAAATATTTTACATTTGCATACTCTACATACTCTTTTTGCATTCATATCTGTGATATTCTGTTTGTTGTTGTTTGTACTTCCTTCTTTGACAGGTTTTAAAATTTACTTTCAATTACTATAAATCTAGAACTTGATTTAATCACGGTATTGCTGAAATACTGTTTATGTGACTTAAAGTATTAACTCACTGACTCACTCCTGCAGTAAGCGTGCATATTTTCTGATGTAGAATAATGAATACCGTTACAAGACAGCTCTTACGGGCGAGGACATTCTTCTTGGCTTGAATATCGTTGGAAGACATTAAAACTGAAATATGTATGTTTAATCCTGCAACAATGAATTTTCTTGTATGTGAGAAAAGCTTAATGTAACACCATGTACTCATTCAAAAACCTGTGTTGTCAGGTGTCACCACCGCCTGCCAGTGTGAACTTGATGCGGCAAAAGCAGACATCTCTACTGATGCCAAGAAGTGCACGTGAGTAATTAATTAAGCACACCAAACTCTAGAAATATTCAAATATTATTGCTGAGTATTTTTTAAAACTACTTTCAAGCCTCTTTCTTGATCTGACATCTTGAGAAAGATAAGAGAATGTGTTAAATTAAAAGTATTTACAAGGTCTATTTATCACGTTATACAATACCCCTAAGGGAGAGGCTGGTGATGTGGTGGGGGCCTCAGAAGTAATTATGTATATGTGTCTCTTGTTATTGACAGTGCCTACAAAGCTGAGTATGCGTGCCTCTACCCACTGACCACTGCTCCCTGTGTCAGCGGCACTGACATAGCTGGTCTGAAGACGACTGTCGCTACGTCGGTAACATCTACAACATCGTGCAGTAAGATTGCGCGTTTATTGAAAGTAGAGTTCTCAATACCTTTAAGGGAGAGCGCTTACTGACTGGAACTTTCACTTTGAATTTCTTGACTGGGATGTCGTTTGAAAACAGCTTCAAAGACAGACATATTTTTCAAACTATAACTTTTTTCTTTTTAAATACTGTAACAATATAGTGTTTTTGTCCGGACCTTTGCTTGGTACAACAGATGTATCTCAAAGTATGGTCACGGACAATGTATGTTTTCGATAGAATCTCAACCCCAGGCATTCTATTATTTTTGGCAGCTTTTGATGACACATGCGTGTGTCAGAGAGCCTATGACGCCGCAACGAAAGGGACGCCTGCAGAACAATGCGCGTATGTTATTTACGTTTTCTAATTAGGTAATAAAGAATGACCAGTGTTCATTATTTCGTTTTTTGCATGCACACACGTTACATGGATAGTTTCAGTATATTCCTGTATATTCCTGTAGGTAGTTAAGGGTTACAGTTCAAACAAATCAAGTTTCGTTGTGGAAAATAAGGACATTGTTGCTACACGTCCACACAATACAACGGAATACCACGAACTCAATTCGCTCTGTGGTCTTGCTCACTGTACCGGGACTATTGCAGAACAATGCACGTACGTTATTCACGTTTTCTGATCCAGTGATAAATTACGTGATTGCTTTCTCTTGTTTATCAATGTTGTTGAACAACGTGAGTACATTCTTTTATTTATTATAGGGATAGGGTGAAAACAAAAACAAAGTAACTTCCTTCATTCTATCGTCATTGTCAGCGCACGGTGGTTAGTACAATTAGCCATTTCCGGCTGTTGTATCTTCTGTGCGATACCTGTGTAAGTAGTTTTTGCTTGTGGAATGAATGATCCAGTTTTGTTAGTGTTTCTGTTTGTTATTTCAGTCGTCATTTATCAATAGTTTGGACTCGACCTGACAAAAGTACTAGAACCTGTACTTTACTGAGAAACCTGAGTTACATTTGACCACATTGTAAATGGCATTGTGTATACATAGTTTTCGGTCGTCGGAGCCGTGCAAAATTATACTTGTCAGAAGTGAACACAAAGTACGTGATCCGGTCTACCAGTTATCCGACTCCATTTTTGTGGAAGCCAAGTTGGCAGAGTCGGTTTGAATCACCCTTGAAGCTCAACCTAGCAAAGTATTAATTAGAATCTGTACTGAAACACGTTATATTTGACCAAACTCTAAATGATAAGGTGTATTCATAGCTTCCGGCTGTGAGAGCCGCAACCAAACATACATTAAAAAAAACAATGAAAGAACACTGCCCCCCATATATTTCCATGTATCCCTTACCAATAACACATGAGTACACAACTGCTTCAGTATGCAGGCATCCAATAACACCTCATCATTTCTTCATCTGAAATGTGAAACAACTGCATATCTGTGTACTGCCCTGCTAGCCTGCGATGTTATTCATCTCATAATTGTTACGTATTTATTATAGCGCTTATAAAACCGAACTGAGTTGTCTGAGAACTGCACAATCATCCGGCTGTGACAGCACTACCGCCAAGAGCGCCATTGCAACGACCGCTGAAACTGCAAGAGCAGCATTGGCAGTTGGCGATTGTCCAGGTTAGACAACTTCCATAACGGAATACAGTCTTTCTGTCGATGGTCATATTTGATTTTATTAAGAGAATGCAGATAAGATGAAAACCGTATTTCTATGCCCACTTTGTACAATGCAATTACAGGTACGCAGACAAATGCACAAACAGATCATTGTTTGATAAGTAAAACAGTTCTCTTTGATGAAATCTACTTTTCATTGTGAAACCAATGTGAACACACACCGTAAAAGTACGCGAATGCTTTGTTCATGTGCTTTGTGCCTTCGCTGCTTTGGGCAGCGGTCACAGTTCGCAGTTTAAAAGATAAAGTCAAAGCAAAACATGTATGTCTGAGAGAGGCAACTCATACATATATTCACATACACTTAAAGATTCTGTAAAGGTTAGACTCTGTCAGGTCAGCTTAACCTGGCCAGGAATTACTAATGGAACAGAACACGATCAACTTCTTAATACTAATAAAACAACTGTTCGTGATAAACCACATCATATATGACGTATTCCCCTATTTATATGCACCAGTGTTATAACCATATATATTAACTAATTATTGACATACCTTCAGCCCTAAGCGCCACGTGCCAGTGCGAGGTCGACGCCGCAAAGGGAGATGCATCCACCAGCGCCAAGTATTGCACGTGAGCGAATTATCGAGAATTATAGTATATCAGTCTTGAAATTTGATGAACAAGTGAAACTAATGTGATGTTTACACTGGTATTTACCCCAACCCTGGCCAGGAACTTGGAGTTAGACTTTACAAAATGTCCACTTGCGTCCACTTCCTGTTAATGAGCAGCTGTTACCCATTCTCCTAACGTTTCTACTTTGATCACGCTGTCAGCCGCCATGTAACTCACCCGATGTGACTTTTAGGTTGTCTTCATTCACTCAGAAACTTTCATATCCAAATGTTTGAAGTGGTTTAATGAGAATAACATTCATTTATCATATTCTTAAGGGTGAAATACCAAGTAGAATAAGATGGGTTTTTTCACGTAGTAGAATATCACTTTTGTCTGGAACTACTTTCTGATTAAATATGTCTCGATCATTTATAAACAATGATCAAAATATATTAAATGTAATATTTTTTTAATGTTGTCAAATAACATGTATATTTCATCTCGTGGTCTGACAAAGTTACCAAAGTTGCTGCGCGCCACTCGTGAACATATCAACTTTGTCAGACCACTATATCTATATTTTCTTTCAGTGTTCTGACCACTCTGAAGACCTGCCTCTCTGCCATCACCACCTCTACTGAAGTTGGGTGTACTACCCTCACCCAGGAAGATCTTGTCACTGACACTGACACCAAGATAACGGCTGCCAAGTGTACGTATACATATTATGTACTTCTAAAAGTGTTTACATCACCATTGTAATCTTGCTACGTCCACATTTTATACGTTTCCAGCTACCATTCGGTACAGCATTGTTTCTGTGGAAATGCTCGAAATCGTATCAGCAGCAATGTCACGTTGGTTCAAACAACATCTTCCAGTGCAGTTTACAGCTACATAACGTAAAGGACTTCGTTTCACATTGACATTAAGGATGCTTAACATTTGCTTTTGTTTTCAATATAGTTAAGAAATGACCTCTTCCGTTGTAGGTGGGAGTTTTGCCGACCATGTTACCTACACGATGACGTCCCTGATCGTTCCAGTTCTTGTACACCTGTTTATGTAACGTCCCTCAATTAGGCTCTTTGACGCTAATGTTTGTTCCAAATTCTTATTTATATAAAATTATAACATAATAGCATCTGCTGTGGCTAACTGTGACATTATGAGTGTTTGAAGGCTCATGCTATTTAAATTTGAAATTTGCGTCACCTTTTCCCAATATGTATTACTGACAATAGTTTTAAAAAATTCGTGTTCGCTCTGCTGTGACTACTAATGTTTTCCTAAGTCCGTGTTCTTCATTCTTCATATAAAAACGGTTTGACTTATTTGAGCATCCACATGATTATATTCATAAAAAGGTAATTTCGGAAAAATGAAAATTGTTTGATTGCCATGTATGACGTGGATTATATATAATTCATATAACCACTGACGAACAATGTGTGGTCATACAAATCTTGGGATGTGTCTGAATTTACATCCTTGGTTCAGGTTTTGATAGCTTATGCCTTGTTAGCTGTTACTTGTTAGCTGTTTTTCGGACCTTGAAAATATGCAGGATACTCAAATGACTCAACCCACGTGTCCCGTACCCTAATGATGTGTTGAGCTTGCCATGATGGTTGTTCCACTGAAATAAACGGTACTGTTCACGAAATCTACTGGTATCTTGTTGTAGTTTAATTAGTAATTAATTCTACATTTTAACTCTATCCTGTTATGGTCGTGAGCAGTCAAACGGCCAAACAGCGTTATAGGGCAGTCATGAGTATTATTGCGCCATCTTTTTGGTCACGTCTTGTAGTTATTGAGACTCTAGATTATACAATTGAAGTTGATACCGTGACACCTTTTGCAGTATCAAAACCGGTACAAGGGCATAGACGTCAAAAACATTAATCGCTTGTGGACAGGTGCACTTTTAATTGACCCCATTTGTCGGCGTTCCCATGTAAATCTCTGCACGCCGACATCTTAACACCAGCAAATAAATCTCAAGAAATTGGGGTCGACTGTTCGAGGACATGACAGAAATTTATATTTGCTCAGAGATGAAAGTTTCAGGTGTACCTTACTTAAACCTTTGTACAATTATATTAACACTACGTTTTAATGATCGTAACCAATCTATCGGTCAACAGCTTGATAAACATATAATAAATAAATAAAACTAGTATTTCGTATAGCGCTCTTTCCAAGAAAAATTGCTCACGAGCTCTGATCACTGGTAGGCTTTTGCAAAGAGATGTGTTTTGAGATTTTGCTGGAAGGAACTGAATGTGGTACAATTCCTGATGCCAGATGGAGACAGTTCCATAGAACGGGTCCTGCCTTCTCAAAAGCTCTATCCACAAATGTTTTTGTTGTTTCTGGAACATCTAGCTGCATAAGATGAGCTGAACGGAGACATATTTTTGGGACGTGCAAAGCAATAAGAGGTTTCAGATATACTGGAGACATTTGTTGCAATGACTTCAGCTCGTAATTGATCCATTGCAGCCATAGTTCAGTCATGCCTATAATAGTCATGCCTATTATTGTGCCATCTTATTGCTACGAAACATATTAAACGTGAAGTAAATATACATTTACCATTCACCAGGAGTTTCAGGACTGCCAAACGCACGTGATTTGCTTCTCAGAATCATTAGTTTACATGCACTGCCGCACTGGATATTTATATAGTCCACATATCCACACAACCAGAACATGCTCAAGGCGCTGGTATTGTTTCCCTCGATCATTGGATATCAGTCTCAATTACCCGGGGAGCATAGTTACAACTTTGCAGCCACAAGGCGCACCGAGTTATTGTGCCTTTTCATCCTTACGAGGTACCAATTCACAGCTGGGTGGACTGGGACACATAGTCACAGTACTTTGTCCAAGCTTACTGCGCGTTGCTGGACCTGCAACTACGTGTTTGCACATATTCATCTGGTCATATACCAACGGATTCGTGGGTTCGTTTAAGTGCACAGGGTTGTGTACTGTACACTAGGGGTTGTGACAACACTGAAAAAGTCTGCACACAAAGTTGACTCCAAGGTTTTACACCCGGTAACAGGTGGGTTCGATCCCGACACCTTAAGCTCGCTGGATCACTAGCCTGGCGCCTACCATGCCCCCATCGTTATGCTAGGAAACATATTAAACAAGAACTAAATATACATTTACCGTTCACTACGAGTTTCACTACCCAAGTCTTTACAATGACCATGGTAACTGCTAATCACGTTTACGCTTATTATTGTTTGGTAGTACACATACCATCAATGTTTTTTTGAGCGAAACATATACAACAATGGACAATGATCAGTTAGCCAAATTTATAAGGCCGCTGACAAGTATGTGAGATCAGTGATCCCAAAAGTAACAGTTTACCATAAGATACATTAACATTTCGGGTCACAAACCTTTGGAGTGAGTGAGTTTACACTTTTCGTCACATCAGCAATATTTCAGCCATATCGTGATTAACAGGTCATACGCTAATGATAGACTCCCTCTGAGGAGTGCAGTTATTTTACGGTACTTCAACCCTCGCCAAGGGCATTGCCACAAACAATTTCAGATAAAATTCATATTTAACTGGTTTATAATATATTTACATGTACATCAAAATTTGGCAATTAACTCAATTTTCCATAGAATAAAAAGCAGTAACTGAACGAAAACTAATAGCTGGGTTGACATAATTCCTTTAAGTGTTGGCAATTTCTGTGCACTTTAGCCATACATTAAAAGAACATATATATATTTATCTATTAAAATCACAGAGGATGAAAAAATACTGTGAATACAATACAGACATACCCTCTCAGGGGGACAATTATTTTTGAGGGTATTGCCAGTAACACGCAAAGTATTTAAGCATTCTAACACATTAAAATGCACTTACTAATTAGAACACATAGTAACACTTTATCGATTAAGTCAATTTCTTTTTTAAAGTACTGGCACATTGTCTGTTGCGTGGGCTTACTGTGGTGGCAAGACATAAACAACAGAGGCTTGTGACAGTAATTTTCCAAAATGCACCAACTGCGCAAAAGATCTTTCTCTAAAAAGTGTCCAATTTATAAGAACAAAATTCAGACGAAACATTAGTTTATCAGATGCGGAGAAACGTGTCAAAAGGTCTAAACCTGAGGAAACATTAATAACACCGTCAAAAGCGATTCTCCTCAGATGTTGTTACCTGCAATGTCTACACAAACTAGATTCCCCACATAGGTATAATGTGTGAAGCCTCGTGGAAGTGCTGGAATGCTTAAAAACTGCATAAAACCGCACTCACACACCCACTCATCTTGTCGGTTAACCAGTCTCAGTCTTCAATCAACTTTCAACAAATCTTCAAAAGCAAAAGTAAACCTATGCCAGAGTTTTCGCAAGAACAAAGTGTTAGAAAACAGATTGGAATTAAGCTATTAAACAAATATGGAACCATTGTGGATTCCAGGGCACATAACCTCTCGCACACCCAAAAGCAACCAACAAGTGCGGGGTAGACACACACAGAGTTATTTCCGTCGCCAGATTTCCGTTTACAGATATACAATGTGGTTTTCGTGATAACAAAAGTTACAAGATTGCAAGATTGTTTGCCTCAATTGCCTTAATACGGAAAAGAAGTAACTGAAATAACATTTCCCAACATGTCAACATTCATATCATTATGCCTTAACTGATGTTTCATAAACAACCACTGAGGAAGTACAGTCAGTGGGTGTCCATCATGGGTACATTCAAATAACGAAATGACGCGATAACTGTATCTGCAGGAAAGTACGCACTTGAATGCTGTTGAGTGTATGAGGTTATTTGTACATATCAATTGTCTTGAGATCTGTGTTCCCGTCACATGTGTACAGCCGAGGCCACATATATCTCCTTTAGTCTGGATGCATCCGACATCCCACTCACACACACAATAATTTCTCTCTGACCTTGATCCATGAGTCTCGCTGTGTAAATACAAGACCCGTTTAAAGACCTTGCAAACGTGACCCTATCATGACAGATTTTAGTTCGCTTTGTGATGCTTCTGGAGATGTATTCCCCGTTTCTGTCCCTGATCACAAAAGATTTATTACAGGTACAAATGTGTATTATCATATCAGAACAAATGACAGGAGTTACTTTAATATATGTTTGCAGTATATGTTGTGTCGCCATGTCAGTAATGTTTGTTTTATCAAAATGATGGGCCAAATGCTTGGAAAAGATAATGTAGTTAAAATGCGTCGAAACAAAGTCGTGCAATCTAAACCGGTTCAAAACAAATCTTAATTTCGTGTGCTACTATAGTGGTACATGTAATGCTCTTTTTTGTCAGTGTTTTTAATTTCATTTACATGCAGGACAAGCAAGAAGTGAGTCTTTTAAATTAATTTAAAGACAAGTGTTTAATATAATGCAATGTTCTCTAGGTAACATCGTCGACTTGGATTCTTGTAGACAGGCGTGTTTCTACATACAGCTCGGAAATTCTTATTTTGTGTGCGACACATGGTTTAATGGCACTAGGATGCCAACTGTATTACAACTTAAAGTGCTAAGTTATTTAACCGCCAGGACAACGCCAGATATTCAGTGGCTGTAAGCAACTAGCTGTTTCGCACACGTTGGTCGTGGGCCGAGGGCCAGAATAGAGGCTTAAGGGCTCAGGGATGAATAAAGAACGTTACACCAACATAATCTCCATCACCCTCTAATAAAATGGCAATGTTCTCCGTAAAAGGTTTGGTCACTACGGAATAAACTGACTTTCTTTGACGGTTGGTTCAATTTATAGGTATTTACAGTTAAGCTTGTTACAACATCAACGCTTATAAAAACAATGAAAATCTCGCAACAAGCTAATATTCCATCCACATTTCAGCTGTTATATTTGTACCCCACCTTTATGATGTCATATGATATATATAGGCGTGAGCATGAAGTATAGCTGGAAAGAGGGAACACTTCTTTGCTTTTGGGTGTCTTTTAGGGGAAGTCCTCAATCTGTCGATTGGTTTCGCGAAACTAATCGACGGATTGAGGACTTTCTCCAACTTAAAACGAAGTCAACATTGCATTCACATGTGTAACTAATACGCAGTGACACTGGACTCCGAAACATGTTCTGTACTAAAACATTCTTCACAAGTGTTTGCCACTGATATGGCAATGTTCCCCGCAGCTAAAGAATGGAATAGTTATAACATATTTACTACTTTTTAATTTTTGCTCAGATACAAGATGCCTGAAATGACCGGTGTCTGCATAATCACCCAATGTAGGCTGTCGACATAATTGAACATACTGGATACAACAGTGCATGAGATATCACGTTACCAATAGTTTGAAAAGTGTTCAAAGTGTCGTTGTGACCTTGAAGATAAGTTTCGTTTCGGAACTACATTGTCAGACATTAAGCAAGTCTGCATTTTCGACAAAACCTGACAACAGGAGTTTGTGGGCAGTGCGTCCATTCAATTTCCAAGTACAAAACGTGACCTTTTGACTTTGGCCAGCAATGAATCAGATCTGAATCAAGCTTTAATTATATTCATTACCTAGGTTCGAAAGCAGAACGGGACAGAATACCGCGTGAACTCTCTGTATGAGATTCTCACTTCTTTACAGGACTATATCCGGACAAAAGGAATCC